ACACACACACACACACACACACACACACACACACACACACACACACACACACACACACAGCCATCTGCCCCCTAGACCCCTCTCCTGATACTCCTGTAAGGCACCTCGACATGCATCATGCCAAAATGGAACACATCACTTTCCTCCCTAATGTTTCTTTTCCTCTAGAATTCATTACTTCAGTGATTGGAGCCATGTTCAGTGGAAGACTCATTTCTCCTTTCGAGGGCTGTGGTTGGTGATTGGTGGGAAGTGTAGTGGATTTACCTGTATTATGAATGGATTGTTTTAGCTATGGACAAAAATGTTTGTCATATTACTTACAAAGCCAGCAGTGTAACCATGGCTTTGGCAATGAAACATTTGGAAGAATTACCTCTACTCCATGACTGTTACTTTTATTCCCCAAATTCATACTTTTACCATGTTTCTTGGGGCAGAAAAGCATTTTCACTTTGAATATGGGAAGCAGTTTTCTCCATTGTTCAAAGAAGGCATGAAATCTAAAGAAAAGCCTGGAAAAAAAGTGAAAACAAGATGGTAAAAACTATTGAGGTGGGGAATTGGTGCCCATGTCACCTGGCTATGGGGAGAGGTAACAGGGTGTAAAAACAGGCTCTGTCTATAAAAGGGCAGGCTAACTATATACATCAGCCAGTTTGTGTCATGTTTTTACTCATTGATAGTAACACTATCTTTATGGAGCATTATAAGAAAATATAATTGTTGATTCATAATTCATAATACAAAGAAACTCCTCTGTGCTTTCCTGAGAAAAAGTGAACTATAAAGTTTCATGAAATTTTAAATTGCCCTTTCTTACTCATCAAAGAAAAGCAAGAAACTGTTTTATCACTATTTTAATTTGTGAGAGTTTGAGAACATAATTTTTACTGTTAATTGGATATTTTCATATTTGTCCTGTATATTTTCTTCCATTTTCTAGTGTAACTGTGGTGCCAAAATACCATAGACTTATTGGAATCTGATTCTCAGAGGGGTGGGAATGGCTAAGGGAGGGGTGGTGCTGGTGGCGCTATGTGTGTGAGACGTCTGTGTTTATGAAAAGGGAAATGAATGAGTTACTAAGTCTGAATATTACTTAAGAGTGTTTAAAATTGTTGAGGCAGGGATCAGGCTGAGAACCACAGACTGAAGATTTTGAGAAGAGCCAGGACCAGAAAGATCTGTTCTGGTTCTCTCGAGCTACTCAATGCGACCGAATGGTCATTTGAAAACATTTTTCAGGTTCTTTTCCTTTATTGCAGATGAAATATTCATGCCTTGGGGGGGAATCCCTAGTGCCACAGCATAAAGGGTCCACAGCAGCAAGTGCAATATCATTACTGATAGTTTAAAATGTGGAAGCCCTTATTTCTACATAAAATATGGAACCAAACAAATACAAAGAAATTGCCTTGCTTTTTAGTGAAGCAGTTTCTTCACTGAGTCAGCTTAAAATAAGGACCATGGAATAAAGTTTCAGACTAAGCTAAATCTATTATTTTAAGGCACTTAAAGATAGGTTGCATTTGTACCCTAGACAAGGTGAGTGCGTGTAATCTAAGGGTGCTGTTTTCAAGTACTTGTCCCTTTACTCCCACTTCTGCCTGCTAGTGATTGCTGGTACCTTTGCCTCTTTTTAAGGAAGTGGCACAGTCGTCCTTCATTTCATGTGTGTCAAATATCACAAGAAGCTGAAGTTGACAGATCAGAATCAAATAATGTATGTTTGTAGTATTTTGTTTTTAATGTGTTGAAATGCTAGTAGTTTAAACTACTTTGTAAGCACAGGCCTTAAAAAGCAATCTTTTGAGCAGCTTTCTTAACAGGCCTTTTAACTTGTCTGCAGACTCCTGCCAACTGAGTCTATTATTATTATTATATCAACTATTATTATGAAAAGACAACTGTTTGAAAATCCTGTTTTATTTAGAGACAGTGGCTTACAACATCAGTGTTTAATGTAAATTTTTTTCTTTTCTTTCCATTTATATTTTCTGCTAGATATTAAGACTAAGACATACCGCAGTTGTAACAACAAAGAAAAATGTTGCAGCCTTAAGACGTGAAACCTACACAGTGGATTTTATTAAAAAGCAGATTGAGGAGTTCAACATAGGAAAGAGACATTTAGCCAACATGATGGGAGAAGATCCAGAAACCTTTACGCAAGAGGATATTGATGTAAGTACAGGCATACTCTGCTGAAAAGTAATTGCTGTGAAGTTTTAGGTGTTGAAAGCACTGTTCTTCAGCCTGAGCCCTTGAGCTCCGTGTACATGTTAGTCAAACTGTTGGAATAAGGAAATATGGCACTGTAAAACTTTGCAAGTTGAAACGATGGTTTCAAAGAAAGATATTGCTCTGTATTTGAAGCATCATAATGTATGGCGAGTTTTAGGTTTTAACTGGAAATGAATACTTTCCTTGATGTAAGGGCATAGGAGCCACTATGAATCCTTATACACAATTTGGAAACATTCTGTAGTGTAGTCTTAAATTTTGCTTTCTTACAAAATGATAAAACAAATGGTAATGGAAATATAGTCAAGTTCATAGGAAATCCCATAAGTAAATCTAAACCCAGTGTTTTTATCAACTTAACTCTATGTTCGAATTTTCAAAGTGAGGGCATAGGGCATGTCCTAAGTGATTTGAGGATAGGTTAGAATGCTATTCATATACCATTCTTGAATTGTTATAATTCCAATAAAAGATGTAATATCAACATTACTTTTTTGCTAGAAATGCCAGAATAGCTAGCAAAAGAACTTAACAATTTAACAATTTTGAAGGTGGTTCTAATTTTAAAAAAAAGTAACATGACATCCCATGATGATTGATATTTAACAGAAGAATAACATCTTTGTGTAGATTTAACATTTTATATTATTTCAAATACATAATTCTTTTAATCATTTTGTATTTTTGGGCATTTTTAGTTTACTTCCCATCTTTTTATCTACCTTTCTTAATTATTTGTAAGTGGTACTTCAGTATGTCTCTAAGGCCCCAGACCAACACGTTTGGCTAAGCTGGAAGGATTTCCCATTGTCCTCATAGGTCCAGGTGACCTGGAGTGATGGACCTCATAGCTGCTGTCCTGTTTTTGAATCTTTTGGTAACCTGGACAATATTTAGGGATATTAAGAAACCTGTATTTTTATAACAGTAATTTTATCAAAGGCCATGTAGGTATTGCTCCATTTTTAGAAGAGGAATCTGAGGCACAAAAAGAATAAGCATCATGTTTAAGTATATACGTATGGGTAGAGGGCAAAGAGCTAAAACTTTAAACTTTGAACCTCGTGTTCTTTCTTCATATCGGCCTCATTTCGTAGGTAATGGACGTCTGACAGTATCCAGAATTATTACATAACGTTTAGCTACAGACTCAAAACATGATTTTCAAGAAGAAAAGGACAAAAAGTAACTAGTGTTTGTAATACTCAAAAAGTTATTTTTTTTAAAGAAGAATTGAAGGAAAGGACCACACACTAAGTAAGACCTTCTCTTCCACATTTAGTAACGTGCCCTTTAAAAAGCTCAGGGAATGGTGAGCATCTAGGCACAGCAGTCCTACTGTAGATTTATGTTTTTCGAGGAGAACCTCAGTCTCAGTATCTCTGTGCCCCTCAGGCTTTTCTCTTGAGACAACTTATTTTGCTGGGTTTTTTTTCTTTTTTTCATTTGGTGGCTGCTTTATTGAGACACACTTCACATACCCTGGTTTTCAGTATTCCCACAGAGTTGCCCAGCCGTCACCAGTCTACCACAGACCATTTCCATCACTCCGCAACAGAACCTTGCACCCCCAGCAGTTGTCACTCTTCGCCTCCCCCGTCCTCTCAGCTCTGGGCTACCCTGTCTTTATAGATTTGCCTGCTCTGGACATTTTATGTAAACAGAATCATACAATACTTGGTCTTTTGTGACTGGCTTCTTCACTTAGCATATTGTTCTCAACATTTATCTATGTTTTATCATGTGTCAGCTGTTCATTCCTTTTTATGGCCAAATACTTTTCCATTGCATGGATATACTACATTTCTTTTTAGTCCATTCATCAGGTGATGGGCATTTGGATTGTTTCCATTTTTGGCTGTTAGGAACAGTGCTGCTATAAACATGCATGTAAAAGTTTTTGTACGGTCACATTTTCACTTCTCTTGGGTATGTAGCTAAGAAACCATTGCTAATCCAAAGTCATGAAGATTTACACTTATGTTTTCTTCTGAGAGGTTTATAGTTTTAGTTCTTACCTAAGTCTTTGATTCATTTGCAGAAATTTTTATATGTGGTATGAGATAGGGGTTCCAGCTTCATTCTTTTACATGAGGATGTCCAGTTGTCCCAGTGGCATTTGTTGAAAAGATTATTGTTTCCCCGTTGAATTGTTTTGTCACCCTTAATGAAAATCAATTGGCTATAAATATGAGGGTTTATTTGTGGACACTATTATATTTCATTGATCTTTAATGTATCCTTATGCCAGTATTACACTGTCTTGATTACTATAGCTTTGTAATAAATTTTGAAATTGGGAAGTACTCCTAGTTTGATCTTGTTTCAAGATCATTTTGGCAATTCTGTGCCCCTTGAATTTCCTTAAAAGTTTTAGAATCAGCTTGTCAGTTTCTGCAAAGAGTCAGCTAGTATTTTTATAGAGATTGTGTTGAATCTCTAGATCAGTTTTGGGAGTATTGCCATCCTAATATTATCTTCTGATCTGTGAACATGGAATGTCTTTCTGTTTATTTAGATTTTCTTTAATTTCTTTCAATGATATTTTATAGTTTTCAGAATTCATGTTTGATATTTTTTTCTGATGCTTAAATTAAAAGCATTAATTTCTTTCTTAAAATTTTAAGTAGAATTGTTTTCTTTTTGGATTCTTTATTGCAAGTGATAGAAATACAATTAATTTTTGAGTATTGAATCCTTCAACCTTGCTGAACTCATTTACTAATTCTTACAGTTTTTTAGTGGGTTCCTTAGGATTTTATGTGTTCAAACTGTCAATAGAAATAGTTGCAGTTTTTTTTCTTTTCAGTCTGGTTGCCTTTTATTTATTTTTTTTCTTGCCTAATTGCTGTGGCTATCACCTCCAACAACATTGACTAGACATGGTAGGAGTGGACATCCTCATCTTGTTCTTGATCTTAGGGGAGAGCTCCAGTCTTTCACCATTAAAAATGATGTTAGCCATGGGTTTATTTGTAGATGCTCTTTTATCAGATACAGGAAGTTCCATCTCTAGTTTGTTGAACATTGTTATCATAAAAACGTATGGGATATTGTCAGTGCTTTTTTTGCTTTTACTGAGGTGATCATTTCTTTTATTGATATGGTATATCATGTTAATTGATTTTTTCATTTTCTTTATTAAATTAAAATAATAACAACTACTTTCATATTATTGTTAGGACTAAAGAGACAAGCAAGCTGAAAAAAAGCTTATGACATAACAAATCACAGAGTCAAACACAGCCTTATTTTACCTATAGATTTGTTCTGGGAATAATAGAAGCAATTGCAGATTTTTGTTTTTTAACATTGTTCAATGAAACATTACTTAGTAAAACTTTTAATAGGACCTTGAGCTAACACAATGTGTAGGATGTCAACTAAGATTCACGAGAATCAGATTTTGTCCTGTATCACACTTAACACTTTAAAGCAGCAACCTTTAACCCATGTGTGGCAAGAATTCTTAAAGCTTGTGATATCTGACTATTAGTCAGGGGCACTGACCTCTATTCCGAGATTGTCAAATAAAAAAATGACAGCAGCCAACACAACAATTGCCTTCCAGTGTGAATGAATCAAAATTATTCCAATTTTTTGGTCAGATTGGCAAAAAATATGGTGTTTTTTGGTATGCCACAGAACTTCAGTAATTAGTTTATGTGCCATGAGATGAAAACAGTTGAAAATCGCTGCTTTAAAGGATACATGTTATTTGTTTTTTTATGTTTTACATTAATTGATTTGTGTGTTTAACTGTATTCCTGGAATAAATCCCACTTTGTCATTGTGGGTAATTTTTTTTTTTTTATATGTTTCTGGATTAGGCGTGCTAGTATTTTGCTGAGTTTTGCTTCTAATTGATACTGATCTGTAGTTTCTTTTAATGTCTTTGTCTGATTTTGACATCAGGGTAATATTGATCTCATAGAATGAGTTGTGAAACGATCTCACCTCTTCATTTTTGGAAGTTTGTGACGAATTGGTGTTAATTATTCTTTAAATATTTGGTTGAATTAATCAGTGACACTATCTGGGCCTGTCATTTTTGGGGGAGGTACCTTTTTTATTACTGTTTGCTTTTTTTTTTTTTTAATCCTCACTGAAGGATATGTTTTTATTGATTTTTAGAGAGAGATGAAGGGAGGGGGGAGAGAGAGAGAAACAGCGGTTGCCTTCCATACGCACCCTGACGTGGATCAAACCTGTAACCTGGATATGTGCACTGACCTTGAATTGCATTCTCTACCCTTCCTGGTCACGGGACAATGCTCCAGTCAATTGAGCCACACGCGCGGGGCTTATTGTTTGCTTTTTAAAATGGTCCTCCCCTCTCCCGTGACCTGTGTGTTCCTGAGTTCTCTGCCAGAAGATCCACTATCCAACTGACTTTAGCCCTAAGGCTTTTTTGAACATCTCTTTACAACCTTTTGGGATGTACCTGTGGCATATTTAGATCACTGAGAAAACAATCAGTCAACAGTTTTGTAATTCTCTCTGAAGGGATAAACATTTTCAAAAGATAAGTGTAAAAATGAATTATGTTGTTTGGAATGGTTAGTTCATTGCTTGGATGTTTAATCGGACTGTTAGTTTAAGATGTTAAAATTATTTTCATGAGAATTTAATTTCTACAGAGTAGGCATGACCTATAATTTAATTCAATTACCTCGTTAAAACTCTAGGCTCACTGTATAATTTTCACATAGGTAAATTAGGTGCCATTGTATTTAGATTAAACCATCTATTATTTTATGTATTAGAAACTGTTTCTTTTATATTGCTTATTAACCAGTTGCTAAAGTAATGATAGCCAAAACCATCTGTGAAAATGCATTTAAGTAAATATTCTAAAGATTTAAAATATCTGCCCTGGCCAGTGTGGCTTATCAGTTAGAACATCAGCCTGTCCATTGAAGGGTTGAGGGTTTGATTCC